TGTTGTTGTTGTTGTTGTTGCTCTTCTTGTTGTTGTTGTTGTTGTTGTTGTTGTTGTTGTTGTTGTTGTTGTTGTTGCTCTTCTTCTTCTTCTTGTTGTTGTTGTTGTTGTTGCTCTTGTTGTTGTTGTTGTTGTTGTTGTTGTTGTTGTTGTTGTTGTTGTGATGTCAGTGTCGGTGTCGGCGTTGGTGTCGGTGTCGGTGTGGTTGTGGTTGTTGTTGATGTTGTTGTGGTTGTTTCCTCCTGCTGCTGCTGTTCGCGGCAGGCAGGTTGATAATGCTGGTAGTGCTGATGACGATGATGTTGATGAACGTGAAGATAAGGATGATGTTGAACATAATGATGATTGTGATGATGATGATGATGATGATCATCATCATGATGATGATGGCGAGGATGTATCTAGTGTCTAGGACGAGTTCCAGTTGCAGGGTGCTGCGTTCGCCGCGATCGGGCTTCCAAGCCCCGGACCACACACCACGAAGCTTTGGTAGCAGAGCCCCAAACATATTGGTTTATATGGTTCCCGGAAATGTTTAGGATGTGTGTGTATTCTCTGTACATGTTGTGTACAGGAGACGCCCCGACACTCTCAGGCTTTTTGGGGCAAAGGGGAAGGAACCCGAGTCCGTTAGCATGTCAGGAAGCATGTGCGCCGTCGGCCGCGTCGCCTACTTCCGGGCGATCGTGGTCGTGAAGCCCTCAGCGGTTGTAAGAGTCTTACAGCCCACACCAGTTACTTTTAATTACCACACCCAAAGCTCAAAGAACAGAAGATGTACCCCTAGCCTAGAAGTAGAATCCCGAACCCCAAAGATGAAGTTCAAAGCCAGGTACTTGAATTCGCATGATGGTAGATGATTAAAGCATCTTGACGGTTTAGGGTTTAGGGTTTAGGGTTTAGGGTTGATGGTAGATGATTAAAGCATCTTGAACTGACTCCGAAAACGTTTGCTGATGGGATCTAAATGCTGAGACTGCTGAGCCGGGCCAGTGTTCATTCCAAAAGGATGCGCTTTTTATTGGTGATCCGCACTACTGTGTGAGCCCAAATTCCTTGGGTTGAAAGCCTTGTTCTCTCCATCCCCGAGTGGGGGTTGTTGCACCCACCAGGCGCAGAACCAGACCATCCTACACCCAAGAATGCAGAGGTCGGAAACGGCAACGGCGTCTACGGTTTCGGCGTCGGCTTCGGCAATACTCCCAAGGCACTGGGCCAAGCAAAAAGGGCCAAACAAGCATAATATAGGGGCCTTGATAATCACCTTTACTGTTTTTGGGGTTCCAAAACCCTATTCTAATTATTAGGAGTGCCAAGCTAAATTGGGCCCAGCGTGTACATGTGTGGTATACAATGCCTGCGTGCCAACACCATATCACGAGTCTCGATCTTTTTAAACCCTAAATGCAGAAGATTGCCCAGCGATTTCGCGCCCTAGTCACCAGTCACGAAGACCAGAACACCAGGAGTTCAGCGTTTGAGGGCGAACTTCCCCTTTTCCTGTTCACACTGATAACCTCCAGCCGAAGTCGTAATCCTGCATCCCCTAAGCTTGAGTCAGGCATTCCCCAAGTATTCTTATCAAATCCCCGTGGCAAGTCCTCGACGGATGTGACAGATCCTTAACCAAACCGCTCGAAACTCTGAATCTCGACTCTGATCATCCACCCTAAGCCCTATCCCTCAAACCTAAACCCGAAACCCAGATCCTTGAACCCCACACCTCCAAAGCGTAAGCCTTAAAGCGCAGAAGCCCTAAACCCCAAACCTTTTCCAGCCCATAAAGATGAACTCAGAGATCCCGATACCCCTGGTAAGAGTTTAGGGTTTAGGATTTAGGTATCAGGCCACATAAGAAAGCCTCACGCCTGCACCATTCAGATATGATCCCTTCTTCAAGGCGCTGTCGGACGTTGAAATCCTACAGCCGCACCCTAAAACCCCGAAGCCCTAAAACCCCAAATCGGGCTTGCAGGAGAGCCGTTCCGACGCCATGCTCAAGGCGCTGCAGAGTCTTGCCACAATGAGCACAGCGATTCTTCAAGGTTCCTCTGACCAAGGGTCCTTTTCGAAGGCTTTTTAATTAAGGAGGCAAGCACTTCGGCTGATGCTTCAAAGGGTTCCAGCTGCAAGGGAAGGGATTCCACTCAAAGTTTAAAGGCTGTTCTAGAGGGAGGGGGGCGGGAGTGAGGGGGGGGAGGGGGGGTGCAGGGTGGGGGTCGTGGGGGTGGGAGTGGGGATTGTAATTTTTTCCATGTCCAACGCATCAAGCAAGAAAGCCGAGGCATGTTGATAGTGATTTTGAGTATGGGTGTTGTATCAAGTTGGGGAATATCTACAGGTTAAAACACTGGGACACGGGATTCCTGCAGGTCGATGTTTTTCTGGGCCTGGCATTTTTGTGCATCGACGTCTTGTAAAACTAAATTTGCACGAAGGAATTTGGATTACATCGACTTCGATTCCGGCCGCATGCTCACAACGCCATGCCGCTTGCCATACTGGCCATGCTGTCGCCCCAGTGCCAGCATAGTGTGTCGGTCCCTAAACCCTAAACCCTAAACCCTAAACCTTAAACCCTAAACCCTAAACCCTAAACCCTAAACCCTAAACCCTAAACCGATGTTTCAGGCCTACGGTCTACATCAGGTTGATGGTGGCAAAGGCTAGGGGTGTCACGTATGCCAAGTACCACCATCCTCCCGAACTTCAATGTAGCATGGACGGTGCCTTATGGCGCCAACGCCTTCACTCCCCTGACCATCGAGGGCAGGGTGTGATGCAAGGACCTGAGCACTTAGACTCTTGGAGGTTTCTGATTTCTGAATTACAGGCATACTCGGGAACTGCCATTAGCAGAATGTGAGGGAACAGCTACCGAAAGGGCTTTAGGGAACTACTATGCTCGGCATATCAGGGGACTACTATGGTAGAGGGAACCCTAGGGTGTGATGCTACTCCTTTTTTCAAGGCTCACTTTCTTCGCCCGAGTGTGGAACTGTTGCGGTGGGAGCCCATGGATATCCCAAGGCTATGTTAACTCTGCTCGGATGTTGGAGTTTTGAGTGAATGGAGGCCTGAATGATTAGTCACATCATCAATAGGGTTGCTAAACATGTGTTTGACTATATTATACCGGTGCTCCAAAACTCAAGCCCTACATTATGTTGACAGTCTTGAGTGGTATCACTGTCGAAAGTTAGTTTTTCCTGTGATGTTCGGCTGCAGCTGGGGGCTTATTCCAGTCTACGGTGCTGTTGTGGGATCACCAAGCATACAAGGCCCCACAGCTGGATATCAAGTTCGACCAATTCCCCAAATCTCCCTCAACCCTAAACCCGAAACCCTCAACCCTAAACCCTAAACCCTCAACCCTAAACCCCAAACCCTAAAACCCTAAACCCAACAAAAACTGCTCACCTTCGAAGCAGTGCCCCCGAGACCTTTCCTTACTTATCCCAGGCCTGGGCAGGGAGTACAAGCACAGCATGAAGCTGGTCCCTCGCCCAATCGGCCGCGGTCTGAAGTGTAACAAAAGACACCTGCCGTGACCGGGGCAGCAAGGAGGCGTTTGGGTCTTTCAGGATTTCCCTAATCCTCAAACCCTAAACCCTAAACTCTAAACCCTAAACCCTAAACCCTAGACCCTAAACCCTAAACCCTAAACCTGGAGAACCCTAAACCCTACATCCGGAACCCTTAACCTGGAACCCCAAACCCTAAACCCTAAACCCCAAACCCGAAGCCCTAAACCCTAAACCTGGAACCCTAAACCCCAAACCTTAAA